TAGAAAAACAAATTGAGCCACAAGTAGCTGGAGAAGTAGAAGCTGTCCAAAATCCCCAGTTTACCATGGACCTGCCCTGCCCATCTCACTCATTTCTATCACCTGTCTTGCCACAGTCAGTACTGAATTTGCAATCCTGGCTTTAAGATTCTTCTGTAGGATCAGTTCCTCTTCTGAGCCACTGCCCTTGTTCAGTAGTGAACTCTTCAGAAGAAAATCTTTCTTCTTATTAATAGCACTCAGGTTTAAGGCTTGACTAGGATATCTCCCTGCTGGTTTCCTGTCTGCGTTGGCACCACTTAGTGATGAACTTGTTAAAGCCATGCCAGAGAAGGACTTTGCCAAACAGAAAGAAAGCAAGGCCTGAGTCTTGAGGAAAATCCACAGTAGAAAAGCAGAGTGGGGGAAAGACGCCTCTCCAGAATGAGCTTCCTATTTGCTCTTAATTTTACATTTCTCATGTACAGACTTGAGAATCAGGCCCCTTTCTGGAGCAAAATCTCTGTAGCCAGAATCCCTGGGGCAAATCTCCAATGTGAAGTTTCTTGCCTGAATTCACTAGTTGAGTCTTACACACGTTTGCTTTGTCATAGGCTGACATTCCTGACATAAGCATGTGCGAAGCTATCCCTTTTGTATGAATTATGTACAGGCTGGAACCCAAATTATTTCTGATCCCCATTACAGAAGTTAGCCTGCTTCCTTTTTTAACTCTGACATAGAAGCATATAGTGTTTGCCCAGGAGATATGAATCTGGGCATGCCTGAAGGGTGATGTATTTTGCTTCTCTGTGGTCCTGTTCACTAGTAGCCTCCAACACCATTCTCTCACTCCCATTCCCCACCCACACAGATCCACGATAAATCCACAGCCATGAGAGGTGTGTAGGTATGGCTAACTGTCCCTGGGTGGCAGCAGTTGGGATGGTGGGGCTCCCAAGAGCTCCCCTCCTCTTAGTGTTGGCCACATCGCCCTGTTCCACCTGCTCAAAAGAGCCATGGTCGATCTCTCTGGGTCAAATCTCAGTGAACATTTGCCGTATCCAGAACCCATCCTTTGCCACACGGCTCCCCATTGCCATTTTCCACGTATTTATGTGTTTGGTTAATGTCTCTTTCTCTCACTAAAAGGGCACCATGTCTGTTTTGTTCATCTATTTATATCCAGCATCTAATATACTCCCTACCCAGAGCAGGCACTCAATAACAACTGTATAAGAGAATTAATTTCAACGCATTCATAGTGGAAAGGACCTTAGATGAAATTTGGTTGCTTTCTTTATGTGAAAGATGAATACAGTGGTGAAGAAATGTTCCCAAATCACGTGGATTTTCAGAGAGGCAGCATTAAGTAGTGGTTAAGACCAAAGACTCTGAAGGCAAAGTGCCTAGGTTCATATCTCAGCTCTACCACTTGCTGACTTAGCACTTAACATCTTTGTGCCTCAGTCTCTTATCTAGAAAATGGAAATAATTGTAGCAGCACCTAAGGTTATTATGAGGATTAAATGATGTTAATAAGCACTTTATAAAGTGCTTAAAATAGTACTATTTTAAATGTTTGTGTTTGTCAAAAAAAAAAAAGAGGCTAGGATAGGTTCAAATTCTATGTCTCTTAACACCTCATCTGGTGCTTTTCACAAAACTGCCTAATGTTATTTTGTCATTGGTATAGAGTAGTGCTGTCCAGTAGAATTTTTCGTGACAATAGAAAGGCTCTACACTGTCCAATATGGTAGCCCACTGGTCCCATGTGACTGAGTACTTCAAATGAGGCTAGCATGACTAAAGAAATTAATTTTTAATTTATTTACTTTAATTAACCTTTAATTTGAATTAAACTACCCTAATAGACAGGGTCATTGCAACAGCTAAGTCATCATGGCTGATAGAATACGTGTCCTACTGCCCTAAAACTCTGGGGGATCCTTTTGAGCATAAGCATTACAGTGTTCTGGAAGCCAAGAGACTCCCCACATCTTTATTTTGGCCAGACCTCCCAGGCCAGGCACCTGACATTAAGGTGAGGTTGCTGTTGTATCAGGTTGCTGTACAGGTTGGCATATACCCCAAAACTGTGGTTACATAAACCAATTAAGAGCATCTTCCTTTTTTTTCAGGACCATACACGATGAATTTTAAAACAACAACAGTCTATAGATAAACAATACTTGCAAAGCTCTGGCATGAACATTTTTTTCAACCAGCTTTAGAATTATACATTCTTCAAGAGTGCTTAAAATGCTACATTTAGAGAACACTTTTCTGTATGTATAGCTGTCTACTGCCATTAAAAAAAAGTCAATCCAAGAAAAAGGCAAGACCTCAACTGCTTGGTTTCCAAATTAAGCTACAGCTTGCGCTAAAAATAGCTTGCCAGTGTTGAGAATCTGTTCCCTGAATTTAAATGGCTTGCTCCTCTCCCAGAGGACAACATTCACTGTGTTCCATGGCAGGGGTGGACTCTGGGAAAGCACGTTTCATTTTTTCTCTGGATTCATTTCTACTTTGTGCTCACAGCAGAGTGAAAAAAAACTAACAATAGTTTCAGGCTTCACACATATGCATTGTAAAGTGTAATGAGCGTAAATATCTATAGCTTTTAGTAGGAGTGTGTGTGTGTGTGTGTGTGTGTGTGTGAATTCAGCTTTGTGTAGATAATCCTAAAGGTATCTATAAAAGCCTGAAGGTATGTTCTGAATAGATTTTACCTTCTTTTTTTTTCCAAACATGTTACCATTTACTCTACTAAAATTTATCTTCTCCTAATTGTCACTGAAAAGTTTTATGCTTTTTAATTTTAAAAACAATCTCTATTTTTTCTCATATCTCATGGAACTCAGGGATGGCTTTCTATCTGGTGGTAAAGACCAGAAGATGAAAATAAGAGATATAAGTTGCATGCTCAACATGGGGAAAAAGTGAAAAAAGTTGTATATCAAGATGGGTTGTATTACATATACTTAAAATTTTTTTAATACTAAAGAAAGGATAAGGCATTTCTCATGGGCAGCAATTTTTTTTTTTTTTTTTTGAGACAGGTTCTTGTTCTGTTACCAGGCTGGTGGTGTGATCACTGCTCACTGTAGCCTCGACCTCCTGGGCTTAAGCAAGCCTCCCACCTCAGCCTCCCAAGTAGCCAGGACTACAGGTATGTGCCACCACCCCAGTTAATTTTTGTACTTTTTAGTAGAGGTGAGGTTTCTCCATATTGCCCAGGCTGGTCTCAACCTCCTTGGCTCAAGTGATCCTCTTGCCTTGGCTTCCCAGAATGTTGGGATTACAGGCGTGAGCCACTGCATGTGGCCTACAGCATTTTTTTTTTAAGTTTTCATTTTTATCAGCTATACATGTACATAGTCTAAGTGGTCAAAGAATTCTACAAACCTTATAATTATGTTTTAGGATGAGTGCTTCTGCATATGCAAATACTTCCATAGGTACCTGCAAAGCCCTCCTTTTTTATTTTCTTGTTCACATAGACAATACATTTTAAGTATAAGAGCCATGTTTCCTAACATCAGTGTTCTCTCTCCCACCTACCTTTTTAAAAAAATTTTTGAAATCTTTGATACTGTTTTTTATTTAAAAAGTTACTGCATTCAACAGGAGTGGGGTAAAAATTAAAAAGTTATGGATACATATCATAAAATTAAAATAATTCAGTAATACAGAAAACATAAAATAAAAGCCCTCTGAAATCTCACTTTTCCATGGATAACCACAAAGTTTGATGCTTATCCTTCCTGATCCCTCAACCCCTACCTGGTAGTCATTGGCAGGCAATCAACATTTCATTTACTCATTCAACACATTTTTTAAGATTGAATGCAGAATGAGACACTGTGCTGCAGAAGGATTACAGTGATGACAAGGATGAATCAGAACTAGTTGATACCTCAGGAATGCATAGCGGAGTTGAAGCATGAGCTGACATAAAATTGAGAAAATGAAACGTGCTAAAAGGAGCACATTGTGCCAGGGAGCTTGGCTGAAAAGAGAGGATTTCCATCAGGGTGGACTAGGACAGGTGTCCCAGGAGAAGCTGCACTTAGGCTGGATCAGAGAAACAGATATGACATGGACATGGAAAGATGGGGAAAGGCATTCTAGAGTCAAGGAACCGAATAAGTGCAAGAAGGAATATACCCAAAGCAAACAATGCTTGATGAATTTTGTTTAAGACACAGAAGCAGCCCATGGAAAAGCAAGGTGGGAAGTCGCCTTTAGTCACCATGACTTAGGTTGCAACTTCTCTGAGGGTAATGAGGAGACCTTCAAATTTACAGGGCAAGGGTGTGAGGCAGACAGAGTGTTAAGGGCTGAATTATGTCCCCCACCAAGTTCATATGTTGAGTCCCTAATTCCCAATGTACCTGTATTTGAAGATAGGGCCTTTCTGGAGGAAATTAAAGTTAAATGAGGTTGTAAGAGTGGTGCCATAATCTAATAGGACTGGGTGTCCTATAAGAAGAAGAAGAGACAATAGGGGTGTGATTATGCAAAGAAAAGCTCACATGGGAACACAGTAAGAAGGCAGCCACCTGCAAGTCAAGGAGAGAGGCTTCACCAGAAACCAACCCTGCCAGCACCTTCATCTTGGAGCTCCAGCCTCCAAAACTGTGAAAAATTATAATATCTGTTGTTTAAGCCACCCAGTCTGTGGCATTTTGTTATAGCAGCCCTAGAAGACTAATACACAACTTTCCTTTGGTTTATAACATTTCTCGGTTCTTACTAAAGAATAGACTTTAGAATGGCCACATATTAAAATGATGGAATTACTTTTATCCTTTGTGTTCTTTGCTTCTCCAGTTAAATAAGTGAGATTGACTTTATTGCTGTGTTTTATCATCATTTAATGTGAGAGCCTCATATCAAAAACCCATTAATATTTACAGTATGCTAACTTCTCTACAAATATCCAAAAGTCACAATCTTAGCATCCTGAGTGACTTCAGTAATACAGCTTAATAAAAATAACAATGAAGTTGAGATTCGCATTCCCAATTTTAGGTGGCAGTCACAACTCATACTATTTGGACAGATGGCACAGAAACCGCTGCGCCTCTTGGCTTGTGGAGATGTTGAAGGAAAGTTTGATATTTTGTTCAATAGAGTTCGAGCAATTCAGAAGAAAAGTGGAAACTTTGATCTGCTGTTGTGTGTAGGAAATTTCTTTGGCTCCACCCCAGATGCTGAATGGGAGGAGTATAAGACTGGCATCAAGAAAGCTCCTATTCAGATATATGTGCTTGGTGCTAATAACCAGGAAACAGTAAAATATTTCCAGGATGCTGATGGATGTGAATTAGCTGAAAACGTTACTTATCTGGGTCGTAAAGGTATCTTCACTGGAAGCTCGGGGCTGCAGATTGTGTACCTCAGTGGCACAGAGTCCTTAAATGAGCCAGTACCAGGTTATAATTTTAGTCCCAAGGATGTGTCTTCTCTGAGAACGATGCTGTGTACAACCTCCCAGTTTAAGGGCGTTGATATCTTGCTCACATCCCCGTGGCCCAAGTATGTGGGGAACTTTGGGAATTCTTCTGGAGAAGTGGATACCAAAAACTGTGGTTCTGCTTTGGTTTCCAGTCTTGCCATGGGCTTGAAACCAAGATATCATTTTGCTGCTTTGGAAAAGACCTATTATGAGAGGCTTCCAGATCGAAACCATATCGTTCTACAGGAAAATGCACAGCATGCCACCTGGTTTATAGCTCTGGCAAATGTTGGAAATCCAGAAAAGAAAAAGTTATCTTTATGCATTTAGTATTGTTCCCTTGAAGCTGATGGATGCAGCAGAACTGGTAAAACAGCCTCTGGATGTCACTGAAAACCCTTACAGAAAATCTGGGCAGGAAGCATCCATAGGAAAGCAAATTCCTGTCCCTGTGGAAGAATCAGCCTGTCAATTTTTCTTTGATTTAAATGAAAAGCAGGGAAGGAAGCGTTCATCCACAGGTAGAGATAGCAAATCTTCTCCTCACCCAAAGCAGCCTCGCAAACCTCCTCAGCCTCCAGGACTCTGCTGGTTTTGCCTTGCTAGCCCTGAAGTGGAAAAGCATTTGGTGGTCATTATCGGCACACATTGCTACCTCGCCCTGGCCAAAGGAGGCTTATCTGATGACCATGTCCTCATCCTGCCCATTGGACACTACCAGTCAGTGGTGGAGCTTTCAGCAGAGGTGGCTGTCAGAAGAGGTGGAGACTCCCTGAAGGCCACCACCTGAGATGCGTTCGTTTAAGGATCGAGGCGCCAATGCGTGTGTTGTATTGCGAGAATTATAAGAGCCGCAATCACCTCCAGCTAGCACGGTCTTCCTGTCCGGCCAGCTGCTGTGCTACTGAATCGACATTTAAGAGATGCCGTTCATATACCCAGCCCCAGCGGCAGCAGATAGAGCTGGTTGGAAAGATCCCAGAGCAAAACTCTGAATTAAGCACAGAGTGCACAGCATATTTTTATTTTGACACTTGACACGGACTCTGAAGAAAAAGCTTTCCACGAATTAAAACGAATTTTTCGCTTTGGCAGTTTGGAAAGGGGAGGTCCTGGCCAGTGAAGGCACTCTTAATATTCCGGTAGCTGACTGGACGGCAGTGCAGATCAGTAAGGAAGACGAGGAGACCCTGGCTGCCGCTTCCGGAAAGACTTTGAGCCCCTATGACTTACTCTGGATGAACTAAACACAAGGTAAGATTCTTTTTACAACAAACTTCATAGGAAGCTACGTAGAGCCTTTTTTTCTTTTGTTTTTTTTTTAATTAAAAGAATTTTTTGCGAGACAAGGTCTCGCTCTGTTCACCCAAGCCAGGACTGGCAGGGGCGCAGCTTGTGGCTGCTGTGGCTCACCTCCCTGGGCTCTAGAGTTCGCTCCCACCGCAGCCTCCGAGTAGCTGGGCGCACAAGGCGGCATGCTA